TTATAGGGGTCTAACTTCCAATGAAGAGGGGAAAGTGAATTGCGAGATTCGCGGCAGGGTGCTGGGGGCCAGGCAGTTTGGGGTGCTGGCGCAGGGGCTGTTTGACAGTTTGAGGTGCGGGTGACGGTGCAGGCGCAGCCTTGCAAATTGACGGCTGGGTGACGCTGTCACCTGTGAGATTGACAGCAGGGTACTAGGGGGCATGCGGTGCAGGTGCTGTTTGAGGTACTGGTGATGGTGGGCGTCTTACTTCGTCAGGGTGCTGTTTGGCGTGCGCTTGTGGTGGTGTGGTGGTTGCTGGCAGTGCCTGTTTTGCGATGCAGACAGGATGCTGAATGCTGTTGTGAGTGCTGGTCAGGGTGCCGTTTTGGGTGCTGGTCAAGGTGCTGTTTGGTGTGCTCAAGGTTTCTGGCGGTGCTTATTTGGCGATGCAGGTGCTGGTCAGGGTGCTGTTGACATGTCCCATTCTGTCTGGGGTCTACGCTGGTGTGACTTGTGAAGAGTGGAAATCCCATCCTTATGCCTACTACTTGGTCAATTGAAAGTGGCTTCCCTTGGTATCACAGAAAGCAAACCTAAAGCCCCTATTTCCTACACCCAAAGTCTCCCATCTCTCTCCGGGCACGAGTCTTTCGCTGCCGAGCTCTTGCCCATTCAGCGCGGGCCAGTAGCTGAGGTTTGCCCAAATGTTGCGGTGGGGCCTTGGTCCGAGTGTCATTGACTGTTGGTTCTACTAAGCTGGCTATAAAGGCGTACATAGGCCTTAGTACAACTCTGATTAAACCAAGTGGAACCATCTATGGCCAGTAATAGGGGTTTGGGCGCTATGTTGCACGATGTCCACTTCGCATTGTATCATGTCCTTTGAAGAGAACAGGTGCTCAACTCTACAGAAAGGAGTCCACCAGGCCCAGCCCGCATACGACATCAAATCTTCTTCTGGCGGGACACAAGAGCTGAGGTCTACATGGGGGTCCCAGAATGACCACGGGTAACTTTCCGATTTAGTGGTGAAAGTCATCTTTTTGGTGGTTTCGTCGTGGTCATTCCATGTGAAGAAGCTGTTGAACAACCAATCGAAACGAGTGTGTGTGTGTGTGTCTCTGTGTGTGTCTCTGTGTGTGTCTCTGTGTGTGTCTCTGTGTGTGTCTCTGTGTGTGTCTCTGTGTGTGTCTCTGTGTGTGTCTCTGTGTGTGTCTCTGTGTGTGTCTCTGTGTGTGTCTCTGTGTGTGTCTCTGTGTGTGTCTCTGTGTGTGTCTCTGTGTGTGTCTCTGTGTGTGTCTCTGTGTGTGTCTCTGTGTGTCTCTGTGTCTGTCTCTGTGTGTCTCTGTGTCTGTCTCTGTGTGTCTCTCTGTGTGTGTCTCTGTGTGTGTCTCTGTGTGTGTCTCTGTGTGTGTCTCTGTGTGTGTCTCTGTGTGTGTCCCTGTGTGTGTCCCTGTGTGTGTCTCTGTGTGTGTCTCTGTGTGTGTCTCTGTGTGTGTCTCTGTGGTGTGTCTCTGTGTGTGTGTCTCTGTGGGTGTCTCTGTGGGTGTCTCTGTGGGTGTCTCTGTGCGTGTCTCTGTGCGTGTCTCTGTGCGTGTCTCTGTGCGTGTCTCTGTGCGTGTCTCTGTGCGTGTCTCTGTGCGTGTCTCTGTGCGTGTCTCTGTGCGTGTCTCTGTGCGTGTCTCTGTGCGTGTCTCTGTGCGTGTCTCTGTGCGTGTCTCTGTGCGTGTCTCTGTGCGTGTCTCTGTGCGTGTCTCTGTGCGTGTCTCTGTGCGTGTCTCTGTGCGTGTCTCTGTGCGTGTCTCTGTGCGTGTCTCTGTGCGTGTCTCTGTGCGTGTCTCTGTGCGTGTCTCTGTGCGTGTCTCTGTGCGTGTCTCTGTGCGTGTCTCTGTGCGTGTCTCTGTGCGTGTCTCTGTGCGTGTCTCTGCGTGTCTCTCGTGTGCGTGTCTCTGTGCGTGTCTCTGTGCGTGTCTCTGTGCGTGTCTCTGTGCGTGTCTCTGTGCGTGTCTCTGTGCGTGTCTCTGTGCGTGTCTCTGTGCGTGTCTCTGTGCGTGTCTCTGTGCGTGTCTCTGTGCGTGTCTCTGTGCGTGTCTCTGTGCGTGTCTCTGTGCGTGTCTCTGTGCGTGTCTCTGTGCGTGTCTCTGTGCGTGTCTCTGTGCGTGTCTCTGTGCGTGTCTCTGTGCATGTCTCTGTGCGTGTCTCTGTGCGTGTCTCTGCGCGTGTCTCTGTGCGTGTCTCTGCGTCTGTCTGCGTCTCTCTGCGTCTGTCTGCGTCTCTCTGCGTCTCTCTGCGTCTCTCTGCGTGTCTCTGCGTCTCTCTGCGTGTCTCTGCGTGTCTCTGCGTGTCTCTGCGTGTCTCTGCGTCTCTCTGCGTCTCTCTGCGTGTCTGTGCGTCTCTCTGCGTGTCTGTGCCTCTGTGCCTCTGTGCCTCTGTGCCTCTGTGCCTCTGTGCCTCTGTGCCTCTGAGCCTCTGTGCCTCTGTGCCTCTGTGCCTCTGTGCCTCTGTGCCTCTGTGCCTCTGTGCCTCTGTGCCTCTGTGCCTCTGTGCCTCTGTGCCTCTGTGCCTCTGTGCCTCTTTGCCTCTGTGCCTCTGTGCCTCTGTGCCTCTGTGCCTCTGTGCCTCTGTGCCTCTGTGCCTCTGTGCCTCTGTGCCTCTGTGCCTCTGTGTGCCTGTGTCTCTGTGTGCCTGTGTCTCTGTGTGCCTGTGTGCCTGTGTGCCTGTGTGCCTGTGTGCCTGTGTGCCTGTGTGCCTGTGTGCCTGTGTGCCTGTGTGCCTGTGTGCCTGTGTGCCTGTGTGCCTGTGTGCCTGTGTGCCTGTGTGCCTGTGCCTGTGTGCCTGTGTGCCTGTGTGCCTGTGTGCCTGTGTGCCTGTGTGCCTGTGTGCCTGTGTGCCTGTGTGCCTGTGTGCCTGTGTGCCTGTGTGCCTGTGTGCCTGTGTGCCTGTGTGCCTGTGTGCCTGTGTGCCTGTGTGCCTGTGTGCCTGTGTGCCTGTGTGCCTGTGTGCCTGTGTGCCTGTGTGCCTGTGTGCCTGTGTGCCTGTGTGCCTGTGTGCCTGTGTGCCTGTGTGCCTGTGTGCCTGTGTGCCTGTGTGCCTGTGTGCCTGTGTGCCTGTGTGCCTGTGTGCCTGTGTGCCTGTGTGCCTGTGTGCCTGTGTGCCTGTGTGCCTGCGTGCCTGCGTGCCTGCGTGCCTGCGTGCCTGCGTGCCTGCGTGCCTGTGTGCCTGTGTGCCTGTGTGCCTGTGTGCCTGTGTGCCTGTGTGCCTGTGTGCCTGTGTGCCTGTGTGCCTGTGTGCCTGTGTGCCTGTGTGCCTGTGTGCCTGTGTGTCTGTGTGCCTGTGTGCCTGTGTGCCTGTGTGCCTGTGTGCCTGTGTGCCTGTGTGCCTGTGTGCCTGTGTGCCTGTGTGCCTGTGTGCCTGTGTGCCTGTGTGCCTGTGTGCCTGTGTGCCTGTGTGCCTGTGTGCCTGTGTGCCTGTGTGCCTGTGGGCCTGTGTGCCTGTGTGCCTGTGTGCCTGTGTGCCTGTGTGCCTGTGTGCCTGTGTGCCTGTGTGCCTGTGTGCCTGTGTGCCTGTGTGCCTGTGTGCCTGTGTGCCTGTGCGCCTGTGTGCCTGTGTGTCTGTGTGTGTCTGTGTGTCTGTGTGTCTGTGTGTCTGTGTGTCTGTGTGTCTGTGTGTCTGTAGGCCTGCGCGCCTCGCGCCACAAGGCCACAGCGCGCTGGGCGCCACAGTGCTGCAGCTGGCATGCTGCTGCATGCGTGTAGCGCGTGGGCGCGCATGCTGTATGCAAAAAGGCTGCAAGATGCTGTGGCTGATTTGGGATTGTAGAAGGTCGTGCTTAACCTAGGGGCGAAGGTGGCCACGTTGTGTGTGTGTGTGTGGTGTGTGTGTGTGTGTGTGTTTTTGTGTGTGTGTGTGTGTGTGTGTGTGTGTGTGTGTGTGTGTGTGTGTGTGTGTGTGTGTGTGTGTGTGTGTGTGTGTGTGTGTGTGTGTGTGTGTGTGTGTGTGTGTGTGTGTGTGTGTGTGTGTGTGTGTGTGTGTGTGTGTGTGTGTGTGTGTGTGTGTGTGTGTGTGTGTGTGTGTGTGTGTGTGTGTGTGTGTGTGTGTGTGTGTGTGTGTGTGTGTGTGTGTGTGTGTGTGTGTGTGTGTGTGTGTGTGTGTGTGTGTGTGTGTGTGTGTGTGTGTGTGTGTGTGTGTGTGTGTGTGTGTGTGTGTGTGTGTGTGTGTGTGTGTGTGTGTGTGTGTGTGTGTGTGTGTGTGTGTGTGTGTGTGTGTGTGTGTGTGTGTGTGTGTGTGTGTGTGTGTGTGTGTGTGTGTGTGTGTGTGTGTGTGTGTGTGTGTGTGTGTGTGTGTGTGTGTGCGCGTACGGTTCGGGCATTTTCTGGTATATGCAATCTTCGGGGTAGTTGGGCATAAACTTTGGGGTATATACTTTGAAGTGTACATGTATACATATATATATATATATATATGTATAATATATATATATATACATACTTTGGCGACACAATAACTATTCGGCGAAAGAATACACATTGTATATTCTGCATAAAGGCTTGAATGAATCATCGTAAATCATCAAGACAGACCCATGTCAAAAAGTGCGCGTAAGTACCAACTAACGCCTGTCATGGCTCGGCCTGTTACGGGGGCATCACAGGACGGAGCTTGATGTTGGGGGGTGCCGGCCACTTTGTGGCAGGGTTCCACAGGTTCCTCCAGTAGAGCCTCTGACTCTTCACAATAGGACGATAGGCAGGCATTCATGAACAAACAAAAATAAATAAATGATAAATCAACAAATAAATAAAATCAATACATAAATAGGAAGCACGATCAGCATTGTTTGCGTCCCCAATAGAATTACTGAATTTATCACACACACACACTCACACACACACACACGCGGCAACTAAACAGAGGCCCTGAACCCGATAGTTGATGCTTATTCACCCTTTGCTTACCCAGCGGAAATCGGGCCATCTAGTTTCACAGCCCCAAGCTTCTAAAGGAACCTTCTCGAGGGCTCAAGCTTTTCTGGGGGCCGATCTCTCCCCTTTCCTGCGGGCCCCGGCGTCCAAGTAGCACTCCACGCTGTACTTCCCGTCCGTGATCGGCGCCATGTCGTGCCTAAGGAAATAGACGGCCCCGCAGAGTGTTGCATGAGCCCAAAGAACCCTCAGGCCTCGGTTTTTAGATCTTCTTTTTGGGCGGGGATAAGCCCAAAGAGGCCTCGGTTTTAAGAGACATCCTCCTTTTTTGGGGGGCTTCCCAGAAAAGATCGATCATTTTGTAGGGGAAGCTTGTGGGCAAAGACCTTCCTTTCGGCCATGTGAACCTTCGGCCTGGAGAATTTCTCAAACAGAGGCCGGCTGGCATCCCTCACTGCTTCGTTCACCGAGCCCTGCTTCCGAAGCCCGGGTAAAGCTCAGGACCAAGAAGGGCCATGCAGTTTGACGTGAAACGCTGGATGTGGCCATTTTCTACATATGGGTGTGGCTCAAAATTACCCAGAAAGGGCAGGTTTCGGTCCATGTGTCCACTGACCGGTTTTTTGAGCCACTGCCATGTTGCAAATAAGGAACTCGCAGTCTCCCGCAACTTGTGTTTGCCAAGGTTTTCTGTGGCTGGTTCATTAGGCAACATTTCAGGTGCCGCTCAGTAGATACCCCAGCTCTGAGCCTCTTCTGTTGCTCTCCCAATTTCTGGGTACCCCAAGGAGGTCACTTGCAGTACTAAGGAAATATTGAGTTCAGTATTAATACCCCAAATTACCCAATATTGTCAAGGTATACTTACCTTAATATCAATATTAAGTATTAAGGATTGAGTTCAATTGCAGAAAAAGAAGAAAAAAACACGGAAATCAGCTCGTCTCACTCTGGAAGTCCGCCCTGATTCTGGAAGAATTCCAGCAACCCCCAACCCCCACGGTTGGGAAGCCTGTGGGAACCTGCAGTTCGAGGACCTTTCAGGTTTCTCTCCCTTAGCTGGGCTCTAGGTTTGGGGTCGCCCATCGCCATGGTCCAAGTTACGCGAATTTCTCTTGGAGGACCTGGGCAATCTATAGCTCTTCCGCTGGTTTTTGTGGGGAAATCTGGAGCTTGTCTCTCTCCAAAACGGACCTAGACTCCGAGGTCAGGTTTCTGTGGCATGCGGCCACAGACGCCTTAGCTGGGCTCAGAGTTGCTTCCACATGCAACTTGTAACTCCTCCAGGGTTCCGTTGCTTCCCAAGTCTGCAGCAACCTTCCCATGGATTCCTACTGAACATAACTCTGGGTGTGACCAACATCTCACATGATATTTTCCCTGCATCTAGTGGACTGGAAGTCATGGCATCTCAGTAAGGCGGTCCAAAGTTGTCGTGTTAATGGGGTCCCTGGTCGCTGTCCCCAGAAGTCCCATGCATTCCTCTTGGGAACATCAAGATCGACCCTGTTGTTTTCCCACTAAGCCATGGAAGCAAACAACGCTGACATTGCGCAAGTCGCTAATATTTACCGCCTCTTTGGCCGTCCTGTGTGGTTGTGGAGGTTCAACCCAAATTTGGTACCAAAGTGGGCCCGCCCATGACGAGCTCATCATTTCAAAGAGGATTTCCCTTATTACCCTCTAACCAATCATGAAAGTGGAAGGGGGGCTTAGCAACTGACAGTCAGCTTCCCTGATTTTGGAAGAGGATAAAGTGACCCTAAAGGCTCCCAATCAGGGTTCCATGTTTTGTGGATTCCTCAGCGCACCGCACCGGGGGTTCCTCTTCGGAGAAATCAACTGGGTTTAAGTCTGCCAGCCTGGTGTTATCAAGACATGAAGCCCGGGTTCGAATCAAGGGGTTCCGATCGACTGCCCCAAGGGACCATCATGTTTTTTTTGTGTGTTTGTGTGGGTGTGTGTGTGTGTGTGTGTTTGTGCTTTTCCCTCTTTCAGCGTTCTTTGCATCGCGAAGGACCCCAAATGGGTCACCCCAAGTCACTAAGCCCGATCTGCGCATGGGCCCCGACCAGCCCACGGGCTTGCAGAAGTCAAAGCGGTGCAACACGCAGGAGGCGCCTGTGTGCCGGATGCCAGCTTAATATGTGGGTGTGTCTTCGTCTTTTTTGGGGGTACTTTTATATATATATATATATATATTGATTTATTTATTTACTTATTTTTTCTTTTTTTGGGGGGGGGGGGGTGAGAGGGTGGGGGGTCCCCCAAAAAAGAGACACGCCGAGGTGTAAAAATGGACCTCCCCAAGTGGATCTCGGTTCTGTTGGGTTCCCTTTCAGCAACTGGTTTAAGGCATGAAAAAAAGAAAACCACTGTATGAAGCAAGGCAAGGGGAACCAGTTGAAAGCCCCACATGGGTGGCCGTGATCGCGCGGTTTGATATGATTGATTCACTTGAAGGAATCCACCCATAGACGGACATCTAACTTCAAGATTGGGATATGAGAGTAAACCAAAGGTACAAACATCAGATGGGAGGCGAGCAGAAGCCAAAGGATGGTTGCACGCAAGTGATGGTTGCCACGCCGTTACTGCCAGTGCTGGTTGCCAAAGACAGGACACCTGTGGTGATTTGTTGCCACCATGCCTGCTTTCTTCGGTATGCAGCTGCAGGAGTCTTGAAGACGACACAGCCACGCAAGCAGAAATATATATTCCCGTGAGACATAGCCAAGACTAATTGTGCCACGGGGATTTTGTATTCTGGTAAGTGTAGTCAATATGGGTCCTTCCACTGCAGTATTGTAGAGCACACTGATTGGCCCACTTTGGCTGCGTTAGGAGCATGTCAAGGTGACTGAGTCATATTGACACCTCTTCTCCACTGATCTAGATCGAATGTTCGACTCTCAACTGATCATGACGAAAGTCACTACTATTGCTTAGACCTGCTAGCAGCTAACAAGATGGGGCGGAACAGTTCTATGAACTCCATTCTGAATGTAAGCATGCTGACCGTGTGAGAGGTAACAAATGGAATCAGGCGATAGAGCTCGTTCTCTTTCACCTCAGAACTATCAAACAATGTCTCACGATAGTTGACCCCGAACTAGAGGGTCTCTAGTTGAACCAACCCCTGCAAGGGTAAGCAAGCCACAAATGAAGAGTAGTTTGTTCATACCTTTCTCTTCAACATTACCAAAAAGGAAACTCCTTTGGCACTGCTGCAAGACGTGACGTTCAAACTACCTGTACCACAAAAAGCGGACAACTCCACGGGCTTCCCCGGTCCATCGATTTGGGCTTCCACACGCTGGGAGTGGTGCGACATGGGAGCGTCCGGGTAAAAGAGCGTGGCGGTGGCCGCCTTATTCCAATTCGAGTCCGCCAAAGCAAGGGGACCTAGCCCCTGACTGATTCCAATCTCATGTCCTGCCAAGGTCTGTGCCTCGCGAATCAGCCCATGGTCTTGGCCATGTTTGGGGCAAGCCACACGGCCAAAAACAATCCTGGATTCAAACATGAAAGGAACACTTCAATTGTTGGGAAACATGTCTGCTACGTCTGTTGATTCACCTTGTGGAGGAGGTTGAGACCAAGATGGTACACACCCTTCTCCCACCAACATAGCACCTGTGGAAGGATTCCTGGAAGATGATACATTTCCACTTCAACAAGCCCCGCGTCAGGTGCCATGTGAGTAGCTCATCCAGATCACTTCCACAACTTCTGAACAATGACGGATGTCCTTGCTGATGTCGGAACAGCATGTCGAAAGTTTGGGTTAGATTTGAACGACCTACAAATGGACCAAGGGTGGTTCGCCTTGAAGCGGGGAATTCGAACCATTCTATGGTGGGAGTCCTCCGACCGCTATGGGGCCTTTCGTGGAACCTTGGTGTCACTTTATGCATCCTTCAACGGGTGTCCAGCAAGGCCCAGGACCCCGCAAACAAGCTCCTCCTTGGCTCCAACTTTCCCGCGATTGTGTTTTCGTTGCTCGCGTACTCATGTTAGGTCCTCTCATGGAGTCCCTCTGCCGGGACCATTAAGGTGGATAAGAGCACATGTGGCACTTGCAATCCGCCTCATGCTCATAGGAGATGCGGAACAGCGGCAAGGCGCGAGATCTCTCAAAAATCACGTACTCGCGATGGTCCACTACGCCGCCCTCCGCGCGAGTCAGGGCCATGACTGAGTCGCAAGCCTCGCCCGAAGGTCCATCGGGAGGCCGCCTGGCCTGTTGCCCAAGCGACTGCTTGGCCACATACGGATGCCCCAGCAGCACGCGGCTCAGAAGCACATGGCGCCTGCGATTGCCTCTGGCATAGAAGTCGCACTTGGACAGATTTCGCGCAAAGTAGGCGCCGATGCCGAACATTGCCCCTGCAGCCTCGCCGCCTCGCTGTGGATCAAAGCCCTTAAGCATGATCTTCTCAATCACTTCAGAAGATGCTCCATGGAAAAGGAACACCTCGTTGAGGCTCGTATCCTTCGATTTGAGATCAAAAAATGGCCTGGTTGATCCGTCAGCAGCCAAGTCCAAGATCGGATTGACTCGGTCCCGGCCCCGAATGTGTGTCAGGTGGTCGATCTCCGCTAGATACTTGTCATGCAACGTGCGATTGTGCAACCGCTCGATGCGGAAGTGGCACAACTTTGCCACAGGGCACCACTCGTTAGCATTGTGAGCACGTCGATGCTGCACGAGGGTGGAAGTTGCAAAGTCTCGAACTGCCTGACAAACTGGATCAAGAGGAGACACTTCCTTGCAAGCGTAGGTGAGGGGGTCAGTCAGGTGCTGAACCAGCAAACTCTTGAACGCATCGTCTACCTCAGGCCCAATGGTGCCCAATCGTGACTTGGTGTGTATTTGAGAAAAGTCGTAGAAAGCACCAACTAGCCTATGCTGAATTGGTTTACGTTCGCCTGCTGCATGGTAGTCAGATTTGAAATTGCGACTGATAGGGAAGGCGGCGAAGGTAGTCCGGCCCTGGCTTCCAGACTGGGATGTTGTACATAGTTCGGAGTCCTTCTCACAATTAGTTTACTGTTTGGGGGTTGTCTGGAACTTCTTGAGTAAGACAGCAGGA